TGAATAACATGATATTTGAATCTTTTTTCCATTTAACACCTGATTTCGTCAATTACTCTTGGCCAGTGTGAATGTACCGACCCGTCGACGTTACACTTTCGTCTGCTATGGATGAGTGACAGTTCTTTATATATTCATCGCTTTTTCTCCCACGATTTACATCACGTTGTCAGCAGTAACAGTCGGTTGAATCGCGGATCTCTAACTCGTCTTGAGGGTCAACAAAGGTAAACTCCGCACTTAATTTTCTTTGGTGGTCTGATGTGAAATTGAGTGCCAACCCTATTTCGACATAATACTACATTATCATACTTATTATGAAACCCAGGTTGTGTGTGTGTGTGTGTGTCAGTCTGTACGTTTATATATTGGATCGGATTTCTTACATTTTTCAACCGATTTCAACAAGACTTCACAGGACTACGTAAAATTACCTTGCGATGGTTCTGACAGTGCCAAAAATTGGAAAAACACAATTGTTTTTGCACGAAATCAATTTGAAAACACGATTAAGAGGTATCGTGAGAATGAAAGGGGGACAATTCATATCGAGTTATACTTATTATAAAACCCAGGTTGTTTGTGTGCGTGTGTGTGTGTGTTCGTTTATATATGGTATCGGATTTCCTACATTTTTCAACCGATTTCAACAAAACTTCACTTTTTTTTGGCAGGTAATGTTTTTTATTGTCTTGCACACTTTTTTCTTTATTTTTACATTCAGAATGCTTTAAAATTTTCATTCAAAAGACAATTGTTTATAATAAAATTCTATTCAATCGATAGACTCATAACGATAGAAAACAATGTTTTTGTTTGAGTTTGGGTTTGACCAATTCGTAAAAAAAGACCCCCCCCAAAGTAATGAAGATATGCGTGTCCGTCAACCTTAAACAATAATCTTTGTCAATTTTATTTTTCAGTCTTTATGATGGTCGATACTTGATCTATCTCTTACTGTTACATCCCCGGTCAACGCCGGGCTCTACTGCTAGTTATGAAATATAATTTACATAAATTTACATACAAAATATAATTAAATGCGTACCATATCAGTTAGATTGCAATATAGCTCTTCATGCTTAATATTACTGTTTTAAATTCTAAAAAAAGAAGGAAAAATCATACGGTCCATACGCGAGGCAATCATCAAACTTGAAAACATATATATATATATATATATATATATATATATATATATATATATATATATATATATATATATATATGTATATAAATATATCTGTAAAAGGCAATATAAATAGACAAGATTAAATCTTATCTTAGCCGACGCGTTTCGTCCTGTGGTGAACTTTATCAAAGCAAATGTAAGGTATTTGTCTCAGATTTCGACTTTTATTTGCCATTATCAAAAAGTTTCTTTTGGGCTATGTTATTTTCATTATATTAATTCTTTGAAGTCTTTACGTAAGGCTTCGAACTATTTAACTGTACAAATCTTTGACAATGGTATGATTCCATCTTCTTATTCCAAATATGGATTAAATAATAGAATTTTATCTGGAAAAATCGTTGTCATTCTTAAAAAAATGCTATATTCACTCATAGAAAACAAATAAATTCTTACAATCAAACATGTTTCAGCTTTATATAAGTCATAAAAAATCTATATTTATATATTTATATATATATTTAAGAATCTGCAATGTTATTGATCCTGACCTGGCATTTCACCTTCATTCAATTTACTCACCGCCGTAATGTAGCTTTCCTGTGACAGTTCTATAAATATTTTGATGGAAATTTTTCTGATGAGCTTTCCTCTTTACTAATTTAAGCTCAGTACTAGATTGGCAGATCAGTCTCATCATTTTACCGTTGAAATTGATAGATGCAACCGTAAGTTCTATGCTGAAAGTTCTTCTTTCTTATTTTTCGCATGTCATTCTGAGTTTTCATTGCATGAGGACTTTTCACTTCTTCAATTTATATTTCCTCTTTGAAACCCTGACTTCGCGAATTTAAGTGCAGTCTTAGACTGATAGCTAGGTTTTGTTAGTTCACTGCTGAAATTGCTTGTTGTAACCCCAGGTTCCATACTAAAACGTTTAAAGGAAGTTCCTTTGCGCATGTATAATTTTAGTAATATTTTCAAATATATATATATATATATATATATATATATATATATATATATATATTATAAATTAATTGAATTAAAATATGTTTTTTCTCGCTATACAGTTCTAACCATGTTTCAAAAATGGAAGCTAAAGCTCCGAATTTAATTTTGTAATTAAATTAAAGACATTAGTTCCATTTCATCCTCAAGCGAATTTTCAGCTTCCATTTTTGAAACATGGTTAGAACTGTGTAGCGAAAAAAACATTTTAAATCAATTAATTTATAATATTAATGCTCTGTAAATTTACATTGAGCACTATTTTGTAAAATAAAAATATCTATGAGAACACAGGATTATATATCTTACTGTTATTTCTTATATATATATATATATATATATATATATATATATATATATATATCTGTGTGTGTGTGTGCGCACGCGCGTGAGTGAGTGCGTGTGTGTGTGAATTCTTGCTGATTCCTCAATATATTTGGTATTGTACAAAAGTTGTTGCTGTCTAATAAATATATACTTGCATAATTCTAAATACATAAACACGTATTTTTTATCATTAAAGTGACATAGGTTTTCCTGTGTGCATTAAAGTTTTCATCTACACACATCTGTGTATGCACCGAATAGGTAAACATAAATGTATCCACTTTAGGCACTTATCGCAAATATAGGTTTAAATATGGAATACCATAGATCTCAATTCTCAATCAGTTTTTTTTTTTTTTTTTATAGAAACACTCAAATACATTCATGCAAAATATATGAGTGTTTGGGGAGGGGTGATTTTTCTGCATTTACCGAACTTCAATTTTTCTTGACTAATTCATAATTAAATCTATCTGCATTATTGTCCACCTATGTGCATTATTGCACTCTAAAATAAAATCAAGTTGAGCGCGTTATGAGACAAAACAACAGAAGTAAATGGATCCGAGGACAATTGTAATGAAGAAGTGCATTTTCTTTCGTTTGGGGAATAGCAGTGGAGGGCATGGGGGGTGGGGTGCGAGATCTAATAAAAGCAAATTGTTGCCCGTTTGCTTTGCTTTGCTTCAAGACTTTTTCATTAACGAAGTGTTGTTACTTTTTTGGCTAAAAATTAGATGTGTTTCTTTTTGTTTCCGTTGAAACTTTCTGGCTTTTAAATAAAGACCAGAGGAAAATCTTTGAGTTATTAGTCAATTTGAGGGTTGGAAATAATAAGACATGTTGGACTGGAAGAATTAAAGTTTTGAAGAAGAAGAAGAAGAAGAAGAAGAAGAAGAAGAAGAAGGGGGAGGAGGAGGAGGAGGAGAAGAAGAAGAAGAAGAAGACGAAGAAGAAGAAGAAGGAGGAGAAGGAGGAGAAGAAGAAGGAGGAGGAGGAAGAGGAGGAGGAGGAAGAGGAGGAGGAGAAGAAGGAGGAGGAGGAGGAGAAGAACAGCAACAACAACAACAAGAAAAGAACAACAACAAAAACAAGAACAACAAGAAGAGCAACAACAATAACAACAACGACAACAACCCCATCACCAACAACGACAATAAGAAAAATAAAAACAATAAAAATAATGAAAAGAAGTAGAAGTGCACGATGTAGAATGAGAAAACTGAAAGAAAGGAGAAGAGTCTGTAGAAAAATGATGAATAGGAAGAGGGGTAATGCAGAAAGACGATGAAGGCGATGGAGAAAAAGGTGGAGGAGGAGGAAGAAGTGCAGACGAATGAAGAAATGGGAGAAGTATATGAAGGAGTGGAATGAAGTTTAGAGAAAGTAAAAGCGAACGGAAGCAAGAAATGGAGGCGAAGAAGAAGAAGAAGAAGAAGGAAGCAAGGTAAAGGCGCATGAGAAGGATGAGAAAGAGAGGAAGAAGGAAACATAGAGAGGAATACGAAATCCCTTGTAAAATAAGACGACGACTCGGAAAAATAATTATAAACTGAAGTTGGAACAAGAAATGGAAAACAAAATCGGCAGCCGACGTGCAAGAAAAGATGAAGGAAGAATCACCGATGAAGAGAAGCGACAAAGTCCATCGTAAAGAGTAAGAGAAAGAGAAAAAGAAGAAGAAAAGAGATAAAATGATGATGATGATGATGAGGAGGAGGAGGGGGGAGGAGGAGGAGGAGGAGGAGGAAAGTTAATTGGCACAACAACAGCAACAACAAAAAGAGGATCAATGTGAAAGATGAAAATGCAATGATGGTGAAAAGAAAACAATTCTAATAAACTTAGTAATAATAGACATGGTAAGCAACAAAAGAGACAATAAAAGAATTGTCTCAAAGTAAAAATTTGGAAGAAGAAAAAAAAAGATGGCTATTAAAGTGATCGAAAAGTTGACTTGAAATAAATTCTTTCGTCTTCATTTTCGCTCTATGTTTCTCCATTAACGTTACTCCTTCGGGAGCGCGAAAAGTGGAATGTTTATGGCCGAGATTGGTGTGGTGGTGGGGGGGGGGGACAGGGTGGCTCCGTACGGCCGACAATACGCAGTAAATGGGCGCTTCTTGTAAATAAATATGCAGCTTGGGAAGAAGGGAAAAAAAGCGCGCCAATAATACAACATTATCGAAACTCCCCACTAATGTGTACAACCAGATTAATAGGAGGATGAATAAAGAGAATATTTTGGGTTTTACTGTTAAAATCTTATGTCATTAGAGATTTTGTAAGTACACGTATGTACTGATAACAGTCGTCGTTTTGGAAATTATATATAAATTATAGTCGTTGGAAAATATAGATAGATTATAATTGTTGGAACGTATATATATATATATATATATATATATATATATATATATATAGAGAGAGAGAGAGAGAGAGAGAGATAGAGAGAGAGAGAGACAGACAGACAGACAGACAGACAGAGAAAGACAGAGAAAAGAGAAATGAAAAACTACGACATACGTACACATAGATAGATAGATAGATAGATAGATAGATAGATATACAAATGCACTTATAAACTCATATACATGAACATTTAAACTTGGTTAGTTTAATGATACAAATAGAAATAGATAGATATGAACAGATTTAGATAGATAGATAGATAGATAGATAGATAGATAGATAGATAGATAGATAGTTATTAAAGCAATATGATATTTCATGCCACTTTTATGTCTATTAATTCTGTACCCGTTTGTAGAAAATCATCGTCAATCAACAGAAATTATTATTAGTTAATCTAAGACAAATAAATGAGAAAGAGAGAGAAAGAGAGAAAATAAACGCGGTATAGGGAAAAAGTGAGAGAGAGACAGAAGGTGAATATTTAAGCAGAGAGAAAACAAAAGAAAATGATTGAAATAAAATATTTCATAAGAATAATTTGTTAATCGCCTTCTTGTTATTTCGGAGAAACTAACAATTCTCCCCATTTTTTCTCCTATCTTTCTATATATCGAGAATCATGTTCCGAAAAAAAACAAAAAAACAAAGATTTTGGATGAGAAACAACCACAATTCTTCAGATGGAGTTTCAATAAATATAAGCGGGGTTTTTGCAATATTTTAAAAAGAACTATTTTGCTTTGTATGAGAGTTAGAAATGATTTATTAATAATCCCATGTTGCTTTTTGTTTTTGCTTTGTTCGAATTAAGTTTTTGTATATCTTTAATAAAAGCCGAAAAATGAGTCAGTTATTCGTTGTCAAAAATAAAATGGCGTGGCGTAGACATCATTGAAGTGTTCATTTGTATATAAATACATATAAATATACATAAATAAAACGTGTTAATAAAACAACCTTTTTGCTGAAATAAAAAAAACAAACTTTGCTTTAATTTTAGTAGCTTAGAAAGAATCGAAAAGAATTTTAACGTTAAAATGAAGTGTATACAAACACAGAAAATCTTTTTACAAATACTATATAACAGTAGGATGTAGGTGATCATGGATCTCTACAGCTTCCTTTCTTCAGAACCTGGGATTTGTCATAACATCTAGGCAGAAGCCAGCAACCTTTTGAAGAGAGCGTGCCAGAAAGATATGAAATGTCTCGGAGGAGAGCCATAATATCAAATTTACTATAATAAATTGCCTTAAAAAATAATGAAGTTAATGTTATATTAGGTAAACAAGGCTCTTTATTTTATTGCAGGAATAACAGGATAGCAACTTGTTGTGTCAGAAACCTACAACCACTCTTGAAGATGAACTTGTCTGCGTCTGTGAACAAAGATTTTAAATAGTGGCATGTCAGTTGACATGACGGAAGATAGATAGACAGAGAGGGTAAGACCTCCGAGTCTAGCTGAGTCGTGATACAGTCTTTGACTGTAAGCGACGTCTGTCGAACTCTCTACGTTAGCAGAGAGGAACCCGGACGAAGCTTTGCCGAAGGTCAAGGTTTCGTCCGGGGAGGTAGACAGGGCCTGAACCCGTCTAGGCGGGTTCAAAGGCTATATTTTTGGCCGAGTCTACGGGCTCGGAGATACCCACATTAAACCGCCCTTGTGCCATATTCAATCCTTGTGGGTGGATCGATAAATACTAAGACAGATAGACCGAGAAGTTCTTAGCTGAGCTAGTTATTGACTACTCAGGTGATTTCTGTACCTTTTACCAACCTATTAAAACCTTTTTTTTACGTGTTGTTTGGCGTTTGTCTCTACTAACCCCAAATCAACATCATAACACAACTAAAAAAATGCAAATTCCTTACTACAAATAAAATACAGTTAGAAATGTAAAATTATTTAATGAGACACTTGTTTCTCTTTATTTATTCAATAACTTCTCCACATCAGGTGAAATATTTATCGATGAGAGGAGAAAAACATCATCCAGGTGGTCATCAACTAACCTTGCTCTTAAACGACTCTAGGTATATTTCAATTACGAAAGAAGTTTTAAACAAGTATATCTACTTCCAAAGAATGTTACCAAAATTCATACATTATTCAGCAGGCTTCAATTCCTCTTGGCAAAACATATTTGTTGTAGAAGTCAACAGTGATTTAAAAAATTCGTTGCATTATTAACTCCAACTGATATTTTTCTGACACTTGCTCCACAAATGAATTAGATAATTAGTGTCCAGGTATTAAGCTGGTGGACCTGAAATAAAAATCCACTGTGCGTCGGATATAACCCAGTGGCTGGTGGTTGCAGACCCCTGATCTAGGGAATGATAGAGGAATGATTTCTTGTTGTTTTCTTCTACGTTTTGAATTCAGTCTTCTGTTTCCTATTCTAATTCCCAACCAAGGTTAGAGATCCCAGTTTATACTGTTATTTAACCCATATCTGGGGTGTAAAAAGATGGATTCATACTTTTCCAGGGGAACTAGTGTGAAAGTGAACGTAACTGACTTGACTGGCATTTGAACTCGGCTCTCCGATTTTACCTTCATAACCGTTACAATAGAGAAGATATCATTAAAAGTCGGACACAGGAAAATCTCCACATACAGAAAACATAGAATGTGCGTGCACAACTTCAAGCCTGAAATCGTAGACGTAGTTTTTTTTTCTTTTCATGAGAAATAAAAATGTCAAAATCACTATTCTAAAATGTTCCAATTATCTGCCTGCCTTCTTCTGAATTCAACAAAACATACAAAAGGAAAAAAAAAAAAAAAAAGACTTATTTTTCATTATTTGATTTATGAAAGGCCTGTTGACATAAATTTTCCTTTTTTCTAACAACAGCTCAAAAAAAACGTACATCTTTCATTCTCGACACTGCCCGACCCACCAAAATCTTCACGGTGTAAACATACTTAACATTTACGGGTGTCCAAAGTTTGTATGCAGAGGCAAAGTTTTGGATTACACACAGCATACCAGCGCGGTGAAGATTGTCATTCGGACCACGATGACCGGAAGTCGGTCTATGAAAGGAATGAAAGCGAGATTCTGGGTGTGCAGACAAACGCCGGGGAATATTTGCACTATTCACGCGGTTTTTGAAAAAAATGGATGCAGTTTCGAGGGTCACGAATTGAAAAGGGATCGGCATTTCCCATTGCAAGTTTTCTTTGATTAGCTGGCTTACAGACAGACATTCAACCATAATGGAAACAATGAGACATCTGTTCTCAACTCAGAAGTCCGTTCTCTCCTGATTTAAACGAAAAGGATGAGTCTCTAGACATTAGACAAATCTTTCACATTCCTCATTTTCTTCGGATAGATGAAAAGTTTTTACACCGAAACAAACTTCCTAACACTCTTGTGGTTGTTCTGTATATAAATATATATATATATATATATATATATATATATATATATATATATATATATATATAACTGCACGCAAAACGCACAAACATACAAACACACACACACATCTATATATATATATATATTGATAATATCAGTGGTCAATATATTTATATATATATATATATGTTGAAACTTGACTAATGCATGGAATAATAATGCAACACAAAATGTACTTAGAACAAAATGTATTGAAACAAGAAAGTGTACACAATATTTACATATAGTCTTTTGTATATTCCTGGTAAGACCGTTCCTGGAGAATGTGTTGACTGAGTCGCAGTCGGGCAGAGTCTCTGGTTGAATCTCTTGATTCCACCCTTATCTTCCCGGTACCAACCATATTTATATTTCCAAATTTCCAAGAGGATAGAATCCAGTCCATCAGACCTACAAATTTAAAAAAATAAAAAAAATAGCATGCACACACACACACACACACACACACACACACATATATATATATATATATATATATATATATATATATATATATGTGTGTGTGTATATATTTATATATGAAGAAAAATATACGGAAAAAATAAACAAAAATCCCAATATGCAATTATGCTGTTTTAATGTTAATATAATGTCAACGTCGGACGTTTCGGTCTAATAGACCATCTTCAGGACATATTCATAAAACATAATTAACATTAAACTATATTTAATTCAACATGAAAAGACGATGGACAAGCTCGATGGAACGATTTTCTGATATAAATAATTCGTTAAGAAATCCTTTCTGTTCTTATAGGAATACGCGGAGATCAATAGATTCTTATATTTTCGTATAAGCTTGATTCATAACACCATCACTAGCGATTATTCCAAAAACCATGGATTCATCATCCAAGTTTTCTGGAATCCCTTGCACCGTCCTCAAATTAAAACTCAAACAGTCTGAAATTTTCGTATTGGAAGTTCCGGTGCGAATGCCAAGCAGTACAGCAAGCTGTTTCTAAATTTCTGGCGGGGTGAATTGTGTCATGAAGCTATTTTTTTTCACAGACGATGCCCAACTGACACCCACTGTAATCTTCAGTAGGCAATATCAAAAACAAATTAAACATATAATATGCCAACAATTTACCGTGTGTGTATATATATATATATATATACGCACACATACATATATATATATATATATATATATATATATATATACACATACAGAGGTATATATATATATATATATATATATATATATATATATATATATATATGCTCTCTCCTGTCGAATTAGACGTATGAGGGTCAAGCTGATCAGTTCCAAAGAACCGACTGCCCGAAACTGGCCCAAGAGATTTGATTATAGTGGTGAAAGTTTTGTGCAGAACCATACACACTTTTTGACTAAGTGCCACAAGGTTCCCAAACGACCCTCCACAGGTTTTGAATTCAGAGTGTTTCTTCTCCTAGACCAGTAGACATCCAAGGCTGTAGAAACCTGTATCTCCTGATATTTACTCATAGCTGGATATATATATATATATATATATATGTGTGTGTGTGTGTGTTTGTGTGTGCGCGCGTGTGTGCGTGTGAACAAGGTATATTTAAACATGTGTTCATTTCAAAAACTGTTATTAAATTCAACCGACAAAGTGCATGTTTTTTGTTTGTTTTGTTTTTTTTTGATACTGAATATTATGTTTTTTTTTTATACTGAATATTATGTTTTTTTGATACTGAATATTGTTTTTTTATACTGAATATTATGTTTTTTTGATACTGAATATTATGTTTTTTTTATACTGAATATTATGTTGTTTTGATACTGAATATTATGTTTTTTTGATACTGAATATTGTTTTTTTGATACTGAATATTATGTTTTTTTGATACTGAATATTTTTTTTTTTTTTATACTGAATATT